GCTGGGGAATTCTAGGAGTTGAAGTCCACACATCTTCAAGTGGCCAAGGTTGAGAAACACTACCTCAACAGTTAACTTTTACTACTTGTCCTAGCTGGTGCTTTATACTAATCAGTTGTAGCTAGAGAGACACAGTTGGACATAACTTGGGCGTAATTTCTGGTCTGCACCTCTTTGAATGATAAAGAAAAATATGATATCATTACTGGGGTCTGATTGTCTTCTTGATTTAGAAAACCCTGGTTTGAATTTTTGTTGTTTTCCTCTTTCCTGCTCATTCCTTCTGCCTTTTGTGTGGTGTTCGACCAACAGGAAAAGACTCTCTCTCGCTCTGAGTTAAAGTACAGGTTCTGGATAATCGTGTTTTAAATCGATAACTATCAGGAGAATCCACATAGATGCAACTTTTCACTTATTATTCGGTTACCTTTTGCAAAAGGCGGTTTATCCATGGTCTGTTGGGTGTTCGTGATGCTCCTGGATACAGAGATATCATGTTTGCCGAAAAATACAGAAGCTGTTCAATTCTGGCTGTTCACACTTTTGCTACTTGTGTCAATTTGACTCATTTAAGTCCAGGTCAAAAGCTGAACATAACCTTCTCCAACCTGATGCCCTCCAGATTGGATGTGCAGCTGGCTAGGGATTCTGGGAGTAGTAAACCAATGCATTTGGTTTTATTTATTTAAATCATTTTTAGTGTACAGCAGAGGTGAGTATTGTAATTCCAAGAACACCAGCATGCTCGTGGCACTTCCTTTACCACTCCCAAGGCTGCCTGCCTCAACTAGAATTTTTAATTATAAAAATGGCATTTCCTACAAATAACCCCCCCCCCCAATCCTCAAATGGGAAGCTGGTAAACTACAAAGTAAAGCACCTTAAAATAAATAAAGTAAAGTAAAGTAAATAAAGTACTCAGTACTTTACTGAGATAAAGTAATCCTTATTTCTAAAGGAACCCACACAAGCCCCATCATTGCAGCTTAATATTTTGTTAGGAACTGTGCTTACCAGGCTGGGAAGTGTCGATGTAGAACGAAATCAAACTGGAGGGAGATATTTTTGTTTGTTGTATTTTATTGCCGCTAGTGAGAACTATCTGTGTGGCCTCTAGGAGTTGGAAGTGACTTGATGGCACATCATCGGTCAGTCAATCAATCAATCAGCTTGAAGGGGCAACACTTCCTCTTGTCAGAAGAATCAGACTCCTCCTTTTTCTCTCTTTGGGGTTTGTGCCAAGCTGGGAATGTTAATGAATCAGAGATATTACATTTATTCACCCAAAATATTGCTTCGGATGGGTGACCACAAGGAATGCCTCTCCATCTTCCTTTTTATAGATCTTTTAGTTTAAAGATTTAGCCAATCATTATCAATGGAACGGAATGCGTTAGCTTATCACAAACAAATGCTTCCTTATCTTAGAACGAGAGCAGATGCCTCCTTACTTATAGTCTCTTTATCCAGAGCTAAAGCAGGTATGTTTTTCTTAAATGGGCATTTTGCCTTTCCTATATATATGTTTTTCTATACATAAGGGGAGATGGGCGGAGACTAAATCCAATGTATTATTATTATTATTACTACTGCTACTACTATATATGTCTTCCTTTACATGGATTTTGCTACGTGATGTGCCTGTTCATTTCAAATGGCGAGAACCAGGCTTTTCCTTTTATACAGTGGTTACTGCCTACACAATCTTTAAACATATAAGAAGAATATTGCAACACTCTGAGAGAGCAGGTCCGTGGCACGAGGGTCTTCCTAGACTCATAGCTACTGCTCGACAGGCAGGGAGAGACCGTGGCTAGAGAGGATTTTGCCCACTTGCAGCCCTACCTTGAGCAGAGGGCCCTTGCCACCGTAACTCCTTATCTCCCCCGCCTGGTTACTGCCATACACTCTACCTGGAGTTTCCCCTGAAGACCACTCAGAAATGCAGTTGGTGCAAAGTGTAGAGTCCAGTATGCATCTTCCACTGATAATCTTTTAATGATACCCATTTAGTGGAGATGAAAGAGGTTGGGGTTACAGGCGATGTTTCTCTAATAATAGAAGAGAATCTCTGTAACTCAGGGTCGAACTGTGGCGTCCTTGGTGCTCTCAGAGCCTGGGGGTTCGCTTGCAGATGTTTCATTACCCAACAAGGAAGCATCATTCACACTGATGATGTTACCTAGTTGGGTAATGAAACGTCTACAAGCAAACCCCCAGGCTCCGAGAGCACCAAGGACGCCACAATATTTCTCTATTGCGGCTCCCAAGGGGGGGACCCCCCCCACTGAAGATTAGATTGGCATTCTCATGGTTGGCCTTTCAGACATAAAGACAGTGTCGTACCAGAGGATCCTTGAGGGTTCCCCATTACACTTACCGTACTGTTTTTATGGTTGCTTCTGTTTTTTACTGGCTGTTATGTTTTTATTCCGTGTTTACGTTTCTGTGTTGTCATTTACTTATTTTATTCATTTATATTACAAATTTAGACACCGCCCTTCTCACGAGGAAGTGACTCTGGGC